CTTCGTACATTTGGTTTAACAACATTGTTAAAACACATTTCTCATTCAATGGAACTGTGCGTATGACACTTACATTTTTGCTCCGTCCATGCAATAAATGCGCAGCCTTCGACTGCTCAGGTATTGTCGTCGGTATGACCGAGAGCCATTTAAAAACTACAGAAAAGTAAAACTACTTCACTTTAGCAATACTGGCCATGAGTACTAAGGAGAGGTCACACATCAGCTGCTTAAAAAAAGTGTCAGTGAGACGAACGGAGCACGAGCGCAATCCTGTGACAGTCACTGCAGGTGGGAAATAGTGGAGCGCATGAAGGAGAGATTCGAGGGCACGATCACTGTTCAAGGTCTCCATTAATTCATGCTTGTAGTCATTTAATGTGTATATATTTTGAAAGCATTGAATCACTATGGAAATTCTTAGCTTTTTAAATCGATTTCATTCGATTCTTAGCTTTTTAAATCGATTACTGTCCGAAATCAGTGATTCACGATTAAAAAATCCATGTTTCAAGATCAATGCATTGCATCGTCAGGGTTTGTAATCAATACATCGAGAAAACGAGTGAATCGTTACACCCCTAGTGAGGAGTGACAATGGGAAAATGAGGATCACTACCAGAAAGATGCAAATCATTAGAATTTTATTAACGAGAGGGACAAATTTTCAGAGAGCAGACAAGGTCAAAATAATAAACAAAATAATCCTTCTTTATAAGCACTAATTTCCCTGTAAATAAATATGAGAAGACTATCAAAACTTCCCTAACTCCCTAAGTATAAACAAAGTGAAAAGATGTACAAAACCAAAATAGCATCTGACCCACTACTTTCCTCTAAGTTATATACAAAAGATATGTACAATATATTAACAATGGCTTGTAACAGACAAGTTAGAATCTAAATGCAAAATCGGTGTCAAACAGGCGAAGGTCAGATAAACGGGGAATAGCAAATCAGAAATACTAAGACACAGATACAATCAGACAAACTCACTAATCTCGCTGATACGAAACTCTACAAGAAACAAATAAATCGACAAATAGAATCACACAAAGACAATAAACTATCAAATGTGAAATAACAAGAAGAACGAATTTGGCAAATGGCATGGCACAAAGATGGCCCCTGTTAAGAGTTTGGGGTGTTCCTTTAACTGGGTCAGGTGAGAAAGAGGACCAATAGTAGCCTCCAGCGAATTAGCCCCAAGAATACACCCACCTATAACACAACATACACATGCACCGATACAATATACACACAAGAGGGCAGGATAACATGAATGAACATATAGCATGAACTCATAACACCCCCACCCATAAAATAAAACATATCTGTTTTATTAATAGATGCGAGACAATGAATCAGCAATGACATTATCAAGACCTTTTTTATGACAAATTGTTAGATTGTAACCTTGACAGATTAGCGACCAACACATGATGTGATGGTTAGCATTAGACATGCGATTAAGAAAGACAAGAGGATTATGATCTGTGTAAACTGTAACGGGCTGTGAACTGGAAACAACATATACCTCAAAATGTGGAAGTGTAAGGAGTAAGTAATAAGTAAACATATTAATGGCTAATGTCTGATTACACATTATTGTAGCACAGTTTGTGCTGAATACAATGTAAGCAACATGAATGTACGTACATGTTTGTGTTTTTGAGAAAACGTTTATGCGTGGTTAGTGAAAAAGTTAAATTTTTAAGTCACTGAAATAAGGCCATAAAACACATACAGAAAATGTGTTCACAATACTTTTGAGAACTGGATCTGGTAGACTAGAGTTTTTGCTTCAAAATGATGTAAAAATAATCCTGTTCACTCATTCACAGAAAACAAAATACTGATTTAACTTGTGTAAGACATGTTTTGTGATTAAAGGCCATATGTGAGGGAGTGACAATGGCCATGAATATTTAGTGATTCACACCTGAGAGACAAACGTCCCTCCTTTTTGATTTTTTATTATTTTTCACAGCAAGTGGTGCATTCGTGTGTTGACAAAGACCAAAGTGTCAGGTAAAAAAGCAAGTCATTTTACTCACAAAAACTGATTTGCTGCAAATCAGATTTTTTTAATGTACGACTTGCTTTAGCTGTTACTTTGGTCTTCGTCAACACCCGCATGCACCACTTGCAGTTAAGTGGACTAATAGCAGATACAGATTATTCATCAGTACTCTACTGCTGCTTCTGCATTGTCTGGATATGCAATTTTGAGTTTCCTCTTGATTTTGAACCACTGAATGTGGAAGAGAATGTGTGGAAGGGAATTTGTAAGCAAAATGAAATGGACTGAAAATTGCCAGTCAAATATTATGTTATATTTTTAAAAAGACTTATTTTGGAAGTCTGGAAGATAAATATTATTTAATTATTAATTTTTAAATATGAAAATGTGTGTGAAATGTTTTGAATTGACATATCCACGGCTTAAATATACAACCATGTTGAATATCAGCCCCTAAAAATGCAAGCCCTGAAAATACAATGCATTAAAATGCAAGTACTGTTCATAAATTCAACATGCTTTTTTTTTGTATCAGATACATTTATTATTTTCAGTAATATTTCAACTGTCCGGGTCAAGAGGCAAATGCTCAGTGCTCTCACTGCAAACGAGTGAAAAAGGTACACTGGCCTGGTACACTATTGCATACTGGTGAGCGTGATTTGACCAAGTACAACATGTTCCTGGATCAACATCCTTGTTGATCCAGGAACATCATTCCAATCAACCAATCAGAATTGAGAGCAAACTTTTCA